GTTGTACGGTCGGGATGGTGATGACTGAAAAATTTCTTGCTGGAAAATAAGGTAAGGGTTTTTGGATCCTTGTGTCTGTCGGGTTTTCCCTACCCCATTCTTCAGCCAGTAATGTTAAGTCGGCCCATAATGCCTAGGCATAATAGAGGCTCTTTACATTGCAACCCACTATTGTAAATACAAAATCTTAATGTAATAATTGCAAAGACAAAATAAATAATATTGTACATTTTTCTTATAAACCTAAACTCCCCCCCCCCCCCCCCACTTCCCCCTCCATAGCAACTACCTTCTACCTACCTACATTCAAACTCGCGAAATCCGCCCGAGGCCATAATGTGGTTCAAATGTCGTTGAGCGCCACCACATCCCACATTGTTATCTTGGGTGACGCAAACAGTTTTAACTCGCCCACCCACGCGTTCACTGTTATCGAAGCAATCCCTTTTTCCTTCCCTCCCCTTTTTCCCTCCTCCACTCGAGGGGGTTTCCCTTGCGCTTGTGAGGGGCTCTTGATCAAAGGAATTGGATCTGGCTCCATTTCCCCTGAATTGAGCCTGAAACCTTCCATCCTCCTCCTCCCCCCCCCCTAAACACAGGCCTGAAAAAAACCCATTTTTTAGCACTACCCCAAAATTTATAAAAATTCCTTTGTCAGCATAGTTGCTGACCCCCTCATATGTTGTAAAGCATACGAGTACGTAGTTAGTACCGTCTATAAAAAAATAGAGGTACTAATCACAAATCGGGTTTTTTTCCATCCCAATTTCATTTTTTTTTTGGTGGGTATAAATTTTTTAATGTTTCCTATTTTCTTGTTTTATATTAGTTCATGTAGGCAAGCTTATACAACCCTATAAAAATATATTTATGTCAGATAACAATTATATAATTTGCTGTTATGCCGGGAAACGAGGGCCCAGAAAAATAGGTTGCTTGAATTCAAAGTACATCTTTTGGTTGAGAATACTGAAGGGGGTTGTTAGTGGCTCAGTATTCCTCAAGAGCACAAGTGCTTAAATGTCTGATTGGCTTATATCTCGTTTTGAAGGTTTTTTTTATTCGCCATGACTTTCTTTAATTTTTAGGGCAACAGGGGGGTTTTTCCCCAATTTTTGTTAACCTTGACTTTTTACTTTTTAGTAAAGGGGTTGGGAA